GTACACAATGCCCGCAGGACAAGGGACTTCTTCCAGGATGATAACATGACTCTTTTGGAACATCCTGTGTATTCCCCTGATCCAGATCCAATTAAGAACCTTTGGGGATGGATGGCAAGTTTCCATCCATCCCTCGTACAGCCGTCTTCACCACTTGGAGAAATGCTCACACTCACCTCATGGAAATGCTTGCATCAAGCATGCTGCAATGAATGTTTGAAATAATCAACAATAACAGTGGAGCTACTCATTACTGAGTTCATGTTTGGAACTCTGATTTCTGTTTTGGGGGGAGGTTTGCAGGTTTTTTTGGAGGTGTGGTCCTAAACTTTTGATCAGCTGTAAAACAGCTTGTTTCAGTTTAAGAGTTGTTTTCAGTAAATTGCATGCTCAAAAAATGTTTTGTCTCACTCGCATTTCTTCTGGATGCATGTTGAAGCTCTACTTGGAACCTTGTTAAGATCCAAACATGCAAAGTATTATTTGTTTTGGCATTTTTCAAGTGGTCTTAGACTTTTGATCGGAACTGTATTATATGCACACCACTGAGCATGTACAGACTGATATTAATCTTTAATAGGGCTGTCAACATTGAGAACAAACAAAACAACTGCTGTGTAGTGCCCTCCGCTATTTTAGTTTTAAGTGGTAACATGACTGCATCACATGACTAAAATGCGTCATCGTTTTTGAAAGTCTCCATTTTCACTGTCCACACTGCGACGCAAACGCGCCGTCTTCAAATGTATTCGTTTTCAAGAGCGCTTTCAAAACGCTGCGCTTTTCCTTGGCAAAAAAAAAACGGAGAGAAAACGATGCGTTTTCAAACGAAAACAAATTAGTGTGGACGTAGCCTTTGACGTCCCTCTAGGTCAGGGGTGTCCAACTCCAGGCCTCAAGGGCCAGTGTCCCGCAGGTTTTAGATGTGTCCTTGATCCAACACAGCTTATTTTAATGGATAAATGTCCTCCTCAATATATCTTGAAGTTCTCCAGAGGCCTCGTAATCAACTAATCATTTGATTCAGGTGTGTTGACCCAGGGTGATAGGAGGCCTGGAGTTGGACACCCCTGCTCTAGGTAAACATGTTTCAAATGCTGTTTACATGATAAACGTTTGTTGTACAAGTCTCTCATGAATAAGTTATTTTAGCGCTAATTTTGTCTGGTGTAGTCCTGCTGAAGTGACGACACAGGAATTGCTTTAAAGATTTTTAAAGCTGCTGAATATGTCAGTAAAAGTTTTTTTTCTTAGCAGAAGCCCAAGCATATCTTGCTCTTCCTCATCTTCTTTCATTTCTGTTTTTAAATTGCTAAAGAAAATAAATGTAGGCCACCCACACCCAACAGCAGGGACAGGACATTTACCTAATGTAGCCAGCATCATTTATGGTGTACAGTGTATGGTCAGAGAAAATCCTCACCACACAAGAAGTAATAAACTGAGTTGTTGCAATAAGTACTAAGAGTGGGGACAAAGAAATGGGACCAATTACAGTCCAACATGGTGCAAAGTTATTTTATTTTTGCTAGAACTGGAAAATGTGTTCATATCTAAAGCTTGTGATATGTGGGGTGTACAGCGCAATATAAAGGAAAGTGCTATTTGAGTGTTCGATATAAATTTTTATCCTTCTGCAGAAGATAGAAGGATTCTGAGTAGATTGTAAAAAGAAAACAAAAAGGCTGACAATATCCTGGCTGAGCTTCAACGGCTCATGAGGGCAGAATTGCTCACACAAAATAAGCTTGTTTGAATGCAAATTCCAAATGTGCGCACAAGGACCTTTTTCTTTGTCATTTTCATCGTTTCCGGCTGTGCATATAATGAGCGCTTTGCTTCGCTGGTTCCATAGGATTTTTCACTGCACTTTTTTTTTAAATAAAGCAGATGGAAAAGAATCCGCGAGCTCCCAATTTGCCTCTAGCACTTGTGAATCTGCCATCTTCACAAAGAAATGGAAATAATTAGCCTACTAATTTCATAAGTCTCGTTCAGATGGCCAATTCCACAGATTGCATTTCCTCTCTCCAAATATGACACAGCACTGAAGCACCGGTTATTCTTGATCCCTCTGGTAAGCCTGCCGTAGGGCACGTGTGGGATATGGACACAGATCACACACCCTCGGTGCATCACATCAATCAGCGTTGAGGTTTTATTTTTAATAGACTGTGTGTGTTGTCAAGTTTGTATTAATAAATAGGAAAGGAGAAATGAGATGCACTTCAATAGCTTTCAACTGGGGGACCTAATGATAAACTTATCTCAGAGAAAAGGATGAGGCTTGAAATGGTCATACAGCAGCAACTCTATTCACAGATTCTTTTGTGGCCAAGACAAAACAAGAGGGAAGTAGAGACGGACAAAAACAGGAGAGAGGGAAACAGAGGATCATCGCTATCTTGATTTTTCACCACTGTGGATTTTGTGCATTCTGCAGTGCAAAATGTGGCTTTGCAAACACACACACACTAAGCACACGCACACACTCACACTTTGACAACATAAGCTGGGCTCGCGCTCTCCATCTATATCAAAGGCCCCACCATGCGGGGATTGACTTTTGTTCTTGGCAGCATGAAAAAAGGGAAAACTTTATGATGTCTGTTTCCCTCTGGTTTTATTTGGCTCCAGCTCTGTTGTGGGGAGAGTGTGCTTGTTGTGTGTGTCGCCTGTTTCCAGCCCAGGGAGTTGCTACTGTATGCTGGTGAGACACTTGTTTGGTTTATTCGGGAGACTGACAGATGTCTCGGTTGGCTGTTTCTTCAGCTCATTTAATTGAAAATGCAGTCATTTGCTCCAGCCAAATGTTTATGGGAAGAACAAGTGAAGGAAGAAGAGAAGGGGAAAAATATTTTTGGTCTGTTGTAGCAGGTCTGTTGTCAGTTTTTACAATTTTATGTGGCATCTTTGTGAAGATCGGCTGGAGGTGGGAGCTGTTTGGTCAGTCGTGCTGTTTTGCAGCCCCAAAAATAATGAAACCACTAAATATATCTGGATCCACTGACAGGGAAGAAGCAAATCAGTGCCAGTGAGTATGACTTCTAAAAGAATACTGACCCCTAGTGGAGAACTGCAACAAGTGACTCATTCAGTATCAGAGGAATGGTACACAGAAAAAAAAGAAGAAAGAAAAAATGATTGAGTGGCGTGCATAAGGCAGCTTGCACAAATATTTACTCATAACCACAGGATGAGAACACAGCTATAAACAAATAAATACTTAATTACACTATCTCATGCACACATCTAGTTAGAAATGGGGTGATGTCAGAGTTGTGGTCGATGTTGAAACTTTAAAGTTTGATACAAAATATGCAGACGAATCATTATACAGCAAAATAATTAAAAGCAACACTGCTGGATATGAGTTACTCTGCTACCCTTTTAGCCCCAAACTGTGTTTTTTATTTAAAGAATCCCTGGACCGGAAGAGCTTTACTTCGTCCAACCTGGCAAAGCTGTTTTGCGTAATTTGTAGCAAGCTAGCTAACATTAAGGCTAACTTAATGACTCTGTAATAAATTAGCTGCTAAAGGACAAACAGTTATGGTTGAAGACAGTGCACTCTCTGTCAGTTATAAGGTTTTGTGGAACAGAACTTGCCGGTAGGTCTTAGAATTAGGTAAATACGACCACAGGTGAACAAGTTTATTAAGATTATGACATCATTATTCATTAAAAACCAAGCCAAAATATATAAGCAGTGTGTGAAAAAGTAATTACACCCTGTAATTCAGTAGCTTGTAGAGTCATTTTTAGCAACAATAGCCTGAATTGTTTTTGATTTGATGCTGCATCAGTCTCTCACATCATTGTAGAGAGATTTTTGGCCTCTGTTCTTCACAATGCTACTTTAGTTCATTCATTCATGCACACCTCTCTTTAGTCACCACCATAACATTACAATCCGAAGTCTGGACTCGAACACCTCGATGATTTTCTTTTTCACACATTCTGTTGCAGATTTGCTGCATGAACCAGTTTGGGCCAAGCTTTAGCTCTCACACAGATGACCTCACATTTGACTCTGCAATACTTTGGTCTACAGAGGAGTTTGTATTCACCTCAATGACTCCAAGGTGTCCACGTCCAGTGACTGTAAAACAAACCCAAATCAGAATCGGAATCAATTCACAAAACTTTATTTAGCCCACAATAGGCAAATCAATTCGACAGTCCAACATTAGAACAGTAAGCAGTGAATAAAATAAAAAAAAACAAATCATCACCCTTCCACCACTGTGCTTGACAGTTGGTATGATGTGTTTGTGCTGATATGCTGCGTTTGGTGTTTGTCAAACATGCTGCAATGCATCATGGCCACACATGTCCACTTTGTCTCATCTAAATCTAAATCTAAAGGACTTTGTTCCAGAAGGCTTGTGGTTTGTTCAGATACAACTTTGCAAACCCAAGCCACACTGTCATGCTCTTTTTAGAGAGAGGAGCTTTTCTCTTGGCAACCCTTAAACAAGCCACACTCGGTCCTTCTTTTTCTAAATGTACTGACATGAACTTTAATATTTAACATGATAACTGAGGCCTGTAGAGATGTAGCTTTCAACTTTACAATTGGGGTGAATTTGATGGGACATCCACTCCTTTTCGCTTGTAATGATCTTTCTGACTGTAGAATTATATTTATCTTATAATGATCTTATAACCCTTCCCAGACTGATGGACATCAACATCTTTCTTTCGCATTGGGGTAACAAACGCCTGAATGCGTGAGACCGGCATATTGCCAAAACTTTAGTTTTATTGAGGCGCTCACACTTGCTGATGATCAGTTAATAAAGTGCTTTTATTTAACAGCACCTGGCTGCTGTTTACCCTCTAAATTTCTATGGAAATAGTCAGGGTGTACTTAGTTTTTCACCAACTGCTTCTGCATTTTGGCTTAATTTTGTTAAATAAATAAAGACATGAGATAATATGTCATGTTTTATACTTAATCTGAGACTGGATTTATTTAATTTCAGGACCAGCTGAAGACCACATTATTTTTATTATGTCCTGATATGTAAAATTGTAGAATCCAAAATGAGTGTACTTTGTTTTTTTTGATGACTGTATTACAATAAAAACACTTTGTTTCTTTGGTTTACTAACCAGCTAGTACGACAAAACTAGCTGGTTAATAGCTGGTTACTACAGTCTAACATATTGTCGGTTACCAGTTTATTTATTGGAAATAGACAATAAATAAACTTAAGATAAAGCAGTTTTAAGGTTTGAATTTTACTGGTGGTATCTAACATGATGAAGTATGCTTTATTATTTGGATCCATTTGTGAAGGAAGAACATGTGCATCTGCAAAAGCTCTGCGCAGCACCAATCCAGAACTAATGCAGTACCAGCCCCTTAATCCACTGTCAGAAATAAGCACTTGAGCTCCCCTCTCATCAATGCCTCGCTCACCAAAAAGCACACTTTTCTTCTTCAGCGCCCAGCATCTGTGAGCTGTAGTGCCTGCACTTCTGTAGGTGTTCGTAATTTGAAGGTACTTTTTACTTACCTAACGCACTACGAAAAAGAATATCTTGCTATCTCTGTCTTTCTTTTTCCTTTGGTTCACAAACCTAAAGCCCACAGTTGCGCCATCTCACTTTTTCCATTCTGATTCAAATCCACTGAGGTAAAAAACACTGGTGTGATGAGACGGAAGTTTGTTTTTTTCCTTTTTTGTGCGCCTGCTATTAGCACCAGAACCAGTTTAAAGTAGGGGGTAAGTAGGGGGAGGTGAATCAAGAAGACATTGAGCCCGAGTCTTCAACGTCTGTGGAGTCATACTCATCAGCGGATTCAGTCAGGGCAGGATAGGGATGAGGCTGGTCAAGGTTGACATAGGTGACATTCAGACTGATGTAGTGCTCTCCTTCCAGGCCAGACAGTATGGTGGAGACAGCTGACACCAGTGTAGCAAAGCTGGGCCTCAACTCTGGATCCGGGTCCCAGCACTGGAGCATAATGCTATACCTGGGGAAAAAATACAGGCACAATTAAAATACTGTATAAGGAATTAGACATTTTCACGTAAATTTTACGAGGCACTGAAATTTTTCAGACTTACAGCAGACTCACACAGAAACACTGTGTATGTGTTAATAGCTGCAGCTGGTTAATCCTCTCCTGATGACAATATGGCATGTAGGAACGATTTTGATTGGCATGCGTGTCATACACTTGTTTTATTGAACCAGGGTTTACAGGGCCGTGAAGCACAACAATTTGAGAAGATGGCATAGATTTGTATGCTGAGAGTTGGATAATGAGACAGATAGCTCTCCTGTGTCTGAACACTAAGCATATATCTGTACCCAGCAGCTCATTAGCACAAAGACTAGAGCGAGTGAAACAGCTTGCCAGGCTGTGTACAGCTGTAAGACAATCCAGCGCCTAGGAAGCTCACATAGGCAACCAGATGAGATCCCAGGAGGTTCATGGTTCAAGCTGGCAAAGAATATTTTGAAAATATTTAATTAATGACATGTAAATTTTGTTACATTTGGGTCAAGCCAGGTTAGGTTTGTTTCACCATTCCCAGAATTTAGCTTCTTAAAGTGAATGGACCACCAAGAAAGTGATTATATAATTAAAAAGTATTGTTCCTCTGATTTGCTCTGATCTAGGTGGTCCAGGTCCCTTCCATGAGTCCTCAGACCATGTTGAATGTGTTGCCAGGCCTCAGTGGACACAGGGCATGAATGGTTACTCTTTAGTTGTTGAGCAAGGGATCGCCATCTAAGCAGTTTATCATTAAAAGGCAAAAGTACGGTCACACTAGAGTGTGTTGGGGGGGGGGTGTCAGTTGTGTGTAAGTGTATCTGCGTGAGTGCGAAACACATAAACATTAACTCCAAGACAGTGTTGCATAACCATGTTAAAATACAAAGTAGTGGAGAATTTACAGGTATCACTCCACTTGAACATCTTGTCATTATTATCTGGACTTTGAGTCACGTTGTTTTTTTTTGTTCTCTTTTACCCTGCAGCTGTTAATTTGTACCAGAACTACTTAAGCATTGGTAGGATCCACATCAACACTTACACATATACAACAGTGTATTTTTGCAATAACTTTTGGAGTGAATCAGAAATTTGGGGCCATAAAACGACTTCATTCTTACTACTTACAAAGGGTCAGGGCAGTACTGTGGCTGAGGAAGCCTCCTGCCCTTCAGTAAATAGTGCGTTATATCGTATGGGTCCACCTCTGGGTAGGGGCTGGCTCCTCTGGTCAGCATTTCCCACATCAGAACACCAAAGGACCACTGTATCCAAAGACACAAAAAATATACATCAAGTGTCAGCAAATGTGCATAAAACACTCAAATACAACGTTTTAATGCAAACAGTGTAATGGAAATCAAATCAAATACATTTTAAATGCAACTTTACTGCAGTAAATCTTTATGTGCGTACCACGTCTGACTTGGAGGTAAATTTTTGTGTTTGCAGACTCTCGATGGCCATCCACTTGACAGGCAGTTTAGCCTTCCTGTGGTCCTGAACACTGTAATATTCCTTATCGAAAACATCTCTGGCCATGCCAAAGTCCGCCACCTTCACCGTGTACGACTCATCCAGCCTGAAGAAAGGAAAGGCCAACTGAAGGATTCTCTCGAAACCAAATGCTTTAAGTCTAACAGAGACACTGAAACATTTGCTAAATTCTCTGCATGTCTTGGAAACTCACATGCAGTTGCGTGCAGCGAGATCTCTGTGCACAAACTTCTTCTGGGCCAAATACTCCATCCCCTTGGCAACTTGCAGCCCAAAGCCAATCAGATCCTTTACAGTGGGGTTCTAAAGAAATCCATGAACACACAACAAGACACACCTCATTAAACAAAAGGAAATGATAGTTCATTAGGTATTTAACAGATAGTTCCTCATAAACGAGGTGATGAATTTCCAATATTTTAATATAGTTATCACACCCTCTTCTCGCAGCGTATGAAATGCCGCAAGTCCCCGTGTTTCATGTATGGCAGAACCACAAGAGGGAGCCCTTCCTGTGGCAGGAGGATGCCCAACAGAGAAAGCACGTTGCTGTGATGGAAGCCCTTCATTATGATGCCTTCCTTCAGAAACTGCTCCACCTCTTCCACATCTGTTATTCCTGATGACACACACATGTAAAGATTCTTTTCTGATGGCCTCTGAGAAGACAGTGGAATTACAGAGAGAACCTCTTCTGAAAGGTACTCATAGGACATCACAGATACTCTTAGCACTTTGTTCCACAGCAGAGACACTCGGGTTCTTTCGTAAAACATATAAATCAAACCTCAAGAAGCAGAAATTACTCAACTATTCAAAGACTTGACAGCACAGTGGATTTCTCTGTTGTTGGAGTCTGTGAAGTAGCCGTGATAGACGGTTCCAAAATGACCTGCAACAAAAATGAGAGACATAATTACAGAGTTGCTTCAAAATATTATATAATGCTTGGCTTCCATAGCAAGTTTTTTCACGTGCACAAGTCCTTACCTTTTCCGATAATCCGATGTTTCTGGACAACAAGCATCTCGGCAGGAATAAGAACATCTTTCACCTCTTCCAGCAGCTCTGGCCTAAAACTGGTGATAGGGATCTTTTCTGTAGGAAGGAGGGGAGTGAGGGTCGGATCTATGCGACCTCCTGCATAGGTCAGGCTGGGGAATGCTACCGGTCCCACCAAGGGGGTGGGAGGACTTAGCGATACTACTAGTAAAAGTTCACAGAGAAAGAAAAAGAGAGGCATGAAGTTATTAAGTTTATGAAGGTGTCTTTGTCAAAGGAAAATCAGCAATAATTAGAGTAAAGAATATTATATATGTGCTTAGATAGCCACCTCTTCTGTAGTCTCCAACAGGTGACATCTCCACATTATTTGTACCACAGCGGTTGGCGCTGTGGGTTAAACGTGACTCTACCATGGAGGCTGAAAAACATTTCACAATAGTGTTCAATCATCAACCCTAACAGCGGAACACATTTACATCCTATACAAAACCTGAGATGTTCTACTTGAAAGACTTTAGTAATTCATCACACTGACACCCACTAGCAGTTGTATAAACATGACTCGTCAAGGTCCACACATGAAAGCGGTGCTAACCTTTCTTCTTCTTCCTTAAGTGTTTCATGACAACAAAGGCCAGCACCGCCCCGGCAACCAGAGCTGCCAGGATCCCCAAAACGATCCCCACCATGTAATGGTTGCTGACCCTCACCACTGTGCCAACGTTGTGAACCTGTCCGTTGATGGAGATCTACGAAAATAAAGTCCATAAATCACAAGTTTAGTATTTCTGTAGATCTGGAGTAAACCATTCATTTATGTAAAAGTTTTTTCCACATATGCTCAAACCAATGTTAGTTAGTAAAAATCTAATTTTGTATGAGCTCAGCTGTAAAAAAAAAATAATTTAATAATAATATTAATTTGTACATTAAATGTTGATTTTATGGTGGATGGCTCAACACTTTAAACAAACAGCATGCATCTCTAATAGATCCATAATTTTTCTATAGTATTCTGTTTATACATTAAAGAGTATCTGCATGCCTGGTGGACAGCAAGGAGGAGGACGCTACTTGGAGATATGGACGCTACTTTTATTTTTAAGAGTCAAAGTGCATCCAAGACAGAAACAGCTGCTGACACAAATACTGCTAACGCTACATCAGCTCAGTACAAGCATCTGCACTCACAGCATGCTAACACAAAGGTATCAAAGACCCCTAAGTGACATCAATATTGAGTGCACACAACCCAGCAGCCAAAGCCTTCTGCAGGTAACAGTAGCTGTGATGAGCATTCAGACATGTAGCATTGTAACTTCTCTTTTATACCTGCACGTGTTTCTGCAGGAGAATCACTCCGATGATCACTTTTAACTTGCCTTGCTTTGTGTAGTGGTCTTTGTTCATGCTTAAAAAAGAAAGCCATCGTGTATGTCGTCATTAAAGTACTGATTTGTGTCAGCGTGTGGAATGCAGCCGAAGGTTAACACTGTTAACCGGTATTTATGTGGCAATGCATTTTAGGTCATGTTACATGAAAGTAACGAGTAGTGTAAGAAATTACTTTCCACGGGGAGTAATTAAATCACGTACTGCATTAGTTTTAAGAAAAGAAGCGAGTAATGTGTGATGCATGAGTTTTTGTTTAGTATTGACCCCAACACTGTATACGACACATTAGTGCAAATTTAAAATGCTGACATTCCAATCCATTGCCTACTTACAGAAAGATAAGTAATATATTACAGTCAACATATTATTTTAATATTAAACTTAGGTTAAATGCTAATAAGCTAAAACTAGCTTATTTTGGACAGTCACTTAATATTTAGTAAGCTAAAAATAGGGTTAGCTTATTCTGAACTTGCAAATTTTGCATGTTCAGGGAATCATGAAATATCACAACTCATTATTCCATGTTGTTAATTTTTGTAATTTCTTTCATTTGAATGTCATAAAAAGCACAGAAACTGGTCTTTTATATAGATATGGGGTCAGAACCCATAGTTAGAATGCCGGAATCAGTATGGTGGAGATGGGATCTGTGTTCATATAAAAATTATTGAATTTATCCAACAGTTACTTGTCTATCCTATCTTGTAGGTACACGAGACAGGACAGACAACTTAGTGACGTACAGTAATGGTTACTAATCAGTGGCACAGACAGTAAAACCTAGGACCCCAAGTTCCATATTGAATCACGTTAATCAATTTATAACCATCTGACCAACCTTCACTGGTAGTCCCTCACTAGGAATGGTCATGTTTTTGGGGATCCTGCAGGTTATCTCATTATCCAGGACTTTAGCACCACAATCAACACCTGCCACCGTCATAATGATGGTCATGCAGGAGCTCACCAGGTTCAGCTTTTGGTGCTAAGAACAGGATCAAAACGTGTGTTATTTAAAATTTCCAATATATTCCACACATTTGAATTGATTTAAGTAAGAATGAAGTAACACAACAGCTTACATGTAGTGACACCTCATCAAACCCAGGGTACAAATTTAGAACATGTCCTTCTGTTTCAAAAGGTATGGGCTCGCCGTAGGGGTGATAGGAGAACTCTTTGCTCCACAGGCTTGATGCTCCATCCATATCAAAAGATAGCGATCCTTCCACAGTTTCATCCCTGTGGAAAACAGGGGTCATGCATTCCATCCGTGTGGGTAAAGACTTGCCGAGGCACTCCTGAAACAAAACAGTGTAATAAAATTTTAATGCTTGTTCTATACAGTAAAATATAAGCACATCACCCAGAGAAGCAATAGAGAAACTCTATAATTTAATACACAGCTCAAAAAAATACTAAAAACATATCAGATCTCAAAGGGAGAAAAATCATGTTGGATATTTATAATGACACGGACTGGGTAATGTGTTAGGAATGAAAGGATGTCGCAGCATTTTGTGGGCATAAAAATTATCAGAGTTAAAATACAGAGAGTTGAATTCAAAGACACCCTGAAAAAATGATGCAGCAGAATAGTCCTTTTTGCAAAAGAAATGTCATTGCAGCAACTCAAAATGTTCCTCAGTTGTTTGCGTGGCCCCCACATGCTTTTACGCATGCCTGACAATGTTGTGGAATACTCCTCGGTATCCGGGGGGTATCTCTTTCCAGATCTAGATGAAGCCTGTACAGCCTGAAGTGCAACCTGGTGGTTCTGGATGGACTTGAAATATAATTTCCCGGAGGTGTCCTATTGGGTTTAAGTATGGGCGAGCATGGGGACCAGTTGGTGTCAGTTCCTTCATCCTTTGGAACTGCGTGACCTGGAAACCTTCATTGACTGACCGCTAAACCAGCCATGCTAAACCCTTTCATGTTGGTTACATGTTCTCATGTGCTCATGGTGCCGCAGTTCAGCAGTGTCAGGCAGTGAGCACAGAGCACACTGAGGATGTCGGGCCTCGTCAGTCTGTTTCTGAACACCAGTGTCCTGCTGGAGGTCATTTTGTAGTTTTGGCAGATCTCATCCTGTTCCTCCTTGCACAAAGGAGTAGACACCTGTCCTGCTGATTGGTTAAGGCCCTGTCCAAGTCTTCTGGAGAAACTGTCTGGGTCCTGGAATCTCCTCCATGCTCTTGAGACTATGGTAGGAAGTACAGCAAATGTATGTGCCGTCCTGTAGGAGTTGGACTACCTGGGCAACCTCTGTAGGGTGCAGGGATCACCTCATTCTACTAGTAGTGACACTGAGCCTACCCAAATGGAAAACAAGTTTAAAAAAAAAACAGTAAGAAAACACGAGAAGGGAAAAATATCAGTGGCCTCCAGCTGTAAAACCATTCCCGTTTTGAATGTTGCCTCATTGGTGCACCTGTTGTTAATTTTTTTGAGCACTGTATATTTACAATGATCGATGATGGAACTGTACCGTTGACACAGATTTCAGGTGGCTCTCATTGGGTTTAAAGCGGATGATTGTGCGGTAAACAGAATCCAGGTTCTCCCCTTCAATGACAATCTTTGAACCTCTGCAACAAAAAGACGTTTAAATTCCATTTTTTAATGAATCTGCCATCTCAGAAAAATGAATAATACACAAAAGTGAAGTGCAAATGCAAAATGGTCCGATCATGCCCTCAAAGTATGTACACACAGCAGCTGTTTTTGTGCTGAGGTTTCTGTGGCATTACCTGTCAAAGCTACAGTCAGGCCGGACGTCTGTTATCTTTGGGTTTTCCTTGTAGTAAAACACCTTTGTTGTGAGAACAGGAGACTTGTCAATGAACACACTCAGAGGAACATCTCTCACCTCTGAGATTTCTTTGGACAAACAAATGATGGAAGACACGTTGCCTTTAGGCGCTGTGACCCTGCAGAGAGACAAAGCTATGTGTGAGTGACACGTCACAACAGACAAACTGGAGCAAATCGAAAGGCTTCATGCTCTAAAATATATTTGTGTAATCATCAAGAACTGGAGCAAAAAATTGTTCACTTGTGAGTCTTTTAACACTTTTCCAAACCAAGACAACTTTACAAGCTCTAAGACAAACACTTGAGAAACCGAGTAAGTGCTTGTGCTACAAAGCACGTAAGGTTTTGTATTTGTACCTTTTTATGTCGCAGGCCACATCGTTAAGAGTGACTCTCCTGGTCTTTCCAGCGTCCAAGTGAGGCCCACTCACTGTGATGAGTGTGCCCCCAACACGAGGGCCATAGTTGGGCTGGATTTCTGTGATGTTGGGAACCTGAAGAAGTCAGTTTATTTTGATTTTGTGGTAAAGCAAACCCTCTTCATAGACAAGGAAAAAAGAATTGCAAGATATTAACAAAGGTTACCACAAATGTGAATCCTGACATTTCTGCCTTCCCTTCAATAGAGTAGCGTCCCTCCACTTTGCCCTCATGCACTTCCACTGTAATGTTGACTGGTTTGAACAGCTCAGTGGCCCCAGAGCGAATCTTACACACCAAGCTGAGTATCAGAAGAAAACACTTGCATTAGACATGTCCAACAAAACTACTAACAATTTAATTTCATGGTGAACTGTCTGACTACAACAGGAAACAAAATTACCTTCGGTGACTTATCTTTGCTGTTTGCAAAGACCGTTATAGAATAATGAGCAAGCATTAATATAAATAGGGCATATCACAGTGCAGCAAAGATATTAAAAAAAAACTACTGAGGGATTTGCTGATAATGGTTATAACACAAAAACCTTGTCCTTGGAACCAAAACAAGCCTTGCAAAGTTACTCACTACGTGTTGTTGCTTTTGGCTGGAATCACAGTGCAGGACGTCTGTCCCAGTCGGATCTGGTGGGTTCTGGAGGTGATAGCAGGCCTCAAAGGCGACTGGAACTCCCACCCAGTCAGCGTTAGCTCTGTTTGACCATCAGGGGGAGCAGTCCGTGGAAAGAACTGTGTTAATAAAAGACAATTATAGTTCACCATTGAAAATGAATGCTGTCATAAGTTGTAGATTTCAGATTCAGAGATTGTGGATTATCTCACTCCGGAGATCCCAGGTGGGCAGGACTCGTTTCTCCAGCGATTGTGGCACTCGCTCTCCCACGAGCACACTCCAGAGCACCAGCCACAGCCCATGAATTTTGGGGCAGTCAGGCACATGGCACAAGTCAGGAAGTGTTGACAGCCTGGTCCTCTTTGGGGCACCTGGATCATCTAAAACAGAATAATAACCGTTTTCATCTCACACACTTATTGCTAGGGGGGAAAAAAACTCTTCATTTTATTTTTCATATAATGAAGCCTATAAGCAGCATAAGAAATGTTCTTTTCAAAACCAAGTATTGATTTCTCACATTAAATATGAAAAGTATTCTGCCTGACATGTTTGTCTGCATTATACCTTGTTTCTTGTATTTAAATACCTGAGTAGATCATCCCTTTCATAGTGTTAGCAGGACACATGTAAAAATCTTAAATGCAGGATTTAAACAAGATATATGTGATAATGTAAATGAAATAGGTGTGCATAAAATAATGTTTAATCTTCAGTTTTTACACTGGCACTTTGGACACTGCTTGTTTCATAAAACTACTGTAGAATCATTTTATTTGCTCCTTAATAACTGATCCTGTTCATGGAGAGAGACGTGTAAGCTGATACTTGGTCTCATTCAGCAATAGTCTGTTTAAGAGGTCAGCTGGACAGCTCCTAATGCTGAAACGAGTCTTATCTAGTGTCATTAAAATATTACAAACATGTTCAGAGGAGTGTCATTTTCTAAGGTCATGTGACCAGTTTGATTTAATGATTTGGTTTAAGGCTCTGACAGTCATTTCAAGTTCTTCAGTTTTCTAATTACCCACTAATTGATTCTCATGGTCACAAGGGTAACACCATTTAAAAAGTGAAAGACATTCGCTGGCCCTAAGGCAAGAGAACATCTGGGCAGGTGCTCTAGATTGTCACAAAAAGACTGCTAAAATTACCCAGCTCTTTTGTAACTGTGATGTGACCAGATCTCCGTGTCTTTCAATAGTGAGAGCACGATTTACCCACAGAGCCTGCTAAGCTTGGACTGGTATAAGATTGGTATACTGTGCAAAGGGACTGCAGCTGTACCTTGTCTCCAACCACAAAGAGAAGATATTCTGAAGAATGCACAGCAGCAATGGAGGAGACCCTCTGGTTTTCTACCAAGGAGTAATTGGCAAAGATGACAGGGCTGGATCTTGTCAGCACAAGCTGCCAACACAAAATGAAGGGTTGATCATTAGTAGAGGAGCAAGTAAATAAAGACAAATGCTAAAGATGATAAATTATGCTATACCTGAAGCAGGCGTCCGGTCGAGGTACCAATGTGGGCCACGGTCTTGTTCTCAATAGTTGTGACGAGGAGAGATGTGAGCAGGACGTTTGTCATCTTCCTGTTGAACAGGTCCACTCTGTAGTAGGGCTTTGACACCATGGTAGGATGGTCTCTGCATGTGGCATTGTTCTCCATGCTCTAGTACAAAGGTCGTAGACAGCAGAGGGCACAGACAACAGGAAACGGTGAGAGAAAAAGCAGTTCAAGTGCAAGCTGCAGCGAGGCAGTATTACACAATATGTGGCAACAGGGTATCAACAGGCTGTTTGTCCTTTATGCTGGAAAAAGAGAGTATGATCTTGTGCAGTGTTGTGCTGTCAATGTGTTTCAGGCTATAGACATAAAAAATTGTTTATACTGAGCATTAAAATGATCACTTATTCTTGATATATCATATTACGTTGTGTTCAGCAGCAGATCAGCAGTCATTTAGGTTTAACTGTAGAAGAAGAAGTTTAGTAAGTATACCCTGAGGTGTCTGTGAAGGTTCTCAGTCATCCAGGTCATCGTAGTCAAAGGAGCTTGCAAAGAAAAGCGTCTGGACTTCTTTAAGTTACTTGAAGACGTTTCACCTCTCATCCGAGAAGCTTCTTCAGTTCTAAGGTCAAATGGTGGAGAGTCCCAGATATAAACT